TCTCCGGCTGCCGGGGGGGAGCCCCGGGCTGCCCAAGGGGAAGGTAGGTTGCCAGGGGGGTAAAGGCAGGCTGCCAGGGGGGTAAAGGCTGCTGAGGTTATGCGGGGCAGGGGGGTCTTGCCTTAGACTCGGCCAACAGCTAGGGTCGAGATTAGGGGTAAGGGAGGATTTATTCAGAGGGAGATTAGTCAGGAGGTGGTCATGACCCTTGCAGAGGGGCAGGTGAGCCCTCCGTGGCTGGTTGTGGTGAGGGACACGGAGCTTATGTCCGTGTTGACAGAGACGTGTGCAGCGTAACATGCTCTCTAGATAGGGAGATGGGAAAGAGAGCGAGCGGTGAACAAACATCCCTGACCGTTAATGGCTGGCTGGAAAGCCGAGGAACGGCCAACATGTGGGAGACGTTCAGAGAAAGCGAGGATGGGGCCGATGGAGCCTGCCCTGCAGCCCAGGGAGTGAACAGCCCGTGATGCAGCTCCTTCGCACGGGGGTGGAAATGGGATCACCCGCCACGGTTTCATGCTCTGGGCCCCACAGTCCACCTTCTTTTTGGCAATTGGCACTTCCACTAGTAATAAAACCCCTCTGCTTTCAGGAATTTTCTAGACCTTTCAAAGGTAGCAATTTGTCTCTTTTTTTTTAAGTCCTATTCTGACAACAGAGTGTAATAGTGATTGCTAGCTGGAGTAGCAACAACTGAGCTCAAAGTAGCAGAGACTTCTGCAGGATTTAGTCCATTTCTTATTTATTCATTTTCCTAATTTTTATATACATTGTAAGTATTTACCTTTTCTTATTTAAACTGCTTAGTTGTGACCTATGGTCATAAGATATTAATGTATTCAAACCTCAAGATTTGGAGCACCAGTTGGTTGTCTGTAGGGGTTGACAGGAATTTAGCCCAGTCTAAAACACTACCTATTTTAAATTGTATTTTGTTTGCATACAATACAAATTCTCTTAATTCTAGGTATTCAGGTACCTAGCCATAGCTTGGGGGCCAAATACCAAGATGGACTGGTCCTTGTTCTGGCCAGGCAGGTCTTACATTTTTACCCTGTATCTGTTGGTAGCATATCGAATATCCAAAGCGTTGTTTTTTACAGTGAGTGACCTATGTCTCACATGAAATTAAGCCACTAATTCAGCTACATAAAAAAAAAAAAAGGAGAAATGAAAAGCCAGCATCTATTTTACTCTACTTCCACTGGCAAAGCTTTTTCTCTTCTGAAGCCAGAAATGAGTCAAGAAGCTCTTATTTCTTAAGTACCAAAGGACATTTCTGAACTTGTATGTAAATTTCTGAGGTTCGCATTCCTCTTGAACCAGGAAGGAGAACAAAATGGCAGAAGGGTGGAATGAGTGAATGCTGTACAATGCCCTGTTGAGGTAAGCATAAGGAAGTAGTAGCTCATGTCCTTTATTCATTTTGGCCTGTTCTCAAGAAACAGGTATTTTAAGCCATCTACAATTTTTCCCTTTGAAAAATGCACTTAACTGAAAGCTAGCCCTATGTTTCTGTCTGGCCCATAACAGCACTATAAATAAAAAGCATAACTAGACGAACAGTTAAGGCTTCAACCACCTCCAGCTCAGAGCTACATCCATCACTATCTGAAGCTTATGGAAATGCCAAGTCCTACTTTTATCTTACGTAACATAACCTTTAAAGAACAACTTGAGGTTTAACAAGGCCAAGTGCAAGGTCCTGCACCTGGGTCGGGGCAACCCCCGGTATCAACAGAGGCTGGGGGATGAAGGGATTGAGAGCAGCCCTGCCAAGAAGGACTTGGGGGTACTGGTGGATGAAAAGCTGGACATGAGCCAGCAACGTGCGCTCGCAGCCCAGAAGGCCAACCGTATCGTGGGCTGCATCCAAAGAAGCGTGGCCAGCAGGTCGAGGGAGGTGATTCTGCCCCTCTCCTCTGCTCTGGTGAGACCCCACCTGCAGTACTGCGTCCAGCTCTGGAGCCCTCAGCATAAGAAAGACACGGACCTGTTGCAGCGAGTCCAGAGGAGGGCCACGAAAATGACCAGGGGGATGGAACACCTCTCCTATGAAGAAAGGCTGAGAGAGTTGGGGTTGTTTAGCCTGGAGAAGAGAAGGCTTTGGGGAGACCTTATTGCAGCCTATCAGCACTTAAAGGGGGCTTATAAAAAAGATGGC